GGGGTCGGGTGGAGGCACCCGTTTGCTGGAGTCACACAGCTGAACACAGCAGCCAACCAGAGCAGGGGCATTCCCAGGTGAATTCACTGGCTCGCATCGCGCAGCAAGCCTTGGCCAAACCACAGAGATTCGTTTGCTGCACAGTTATTAAAACCTGCACAGTCATTCTGCAAATCAGACTTCCGCTCCCTTGCCAGAGCTTGGAGAGTCACTCGTCTCGGGAGAATAACAGAGATACATTTGCAGCATCGCTGTTATCAGCCACCTCCAAGCTCTGAACTTCAACATAACAGATCACAGTATCTCCTAGTTGTTCTATAAAGCGAGTCACACCTTTATGCCTGTTGTTTTTTCTTTTTAGTATTCGTAAACTGTTTTCTTCTGCTGTCTCTTCTGTGCTCTGTAAGAAAAATCAAAACAACATATTTTTACATCATACTGACATTTACTGCTTTGTTTTCATTATCTTACCTCTATATTATTAGAAAGATAAAAAGCAGCCCGTATTCCTGTGAATACAGTCAGCTTCTCTGCACAGCTAACGATATTCCTCTCCAGACATGCCGTTTTTAAAAAGGGAAGGAAAAATTGCTTCAAAGCAAAAACTTTAAGAAAAGCCCAACACCTGGGACACCACCCTCCTTAATTACTGCATTTACAAATAGCACAGATGTTAACAAATGCCTACTGCTAACCCCCAGTGCAAATGATGTTTAGTTCCCTAGACCTGATGTAATACTAGAAAGGATTTGAGAGGAGAAGGGGAATATTTTTCTTTTCCTTCGGACAGGACACAGTCATTCTCTGCTGTTCCACATCACACCACAGTACTACTAATAATTCTTAAGCTCTGTCACAAAACTCCACTAGTGTAAAAATGTATTGCTTACACAATGGTAAACAATTTATCCCGCAGTGATAAATCCTGGAGCCCCTCAGCTTCCTATCTGCAGTGTTTGTATTGATTTCTGAGATCGCTAGCGCTGGAGAGCAGCAGAAACAGCACATTACTGTGGGTAACAGGTCAAATGAATCTCCGTTAGAATACCAGGAATGTAAGTGGATTTACAGCTAAGAAATTCTTGGAGACAAATAACCTACCCTTATGAGAGTACTACATAAAAACTGCAAAGATTGTCCACGTTCCCTCACATGACCTCCCTTTAACCTCAAGACCTGGGAAAGGCAGAAGTTTTTCCCAAGGAAAGCTGGATGCTAATTCTTCTAGAAAGGAGAAATCCCGATCTCCCCAAAAGTCAATGGGACTTCCCATGCATACTTCATGGAGCCAAGACAATCACCTCAAAACTTAAAATAAGCTGTATTTATAGGTTTTCTAACCACAGCCTCTAAAAGAACTCCCGCTGCAACTAGAGCGATGCTCTGCCTGATAGCTCCTGAACCCTTGGGAAGGCCATCTTCACTGGCAGAGCTGAGAACTGCCTGATCTGCAATGACAATCTGCCACATTTACCACGAGCACAGGCTCACACACAAGTAAGCGCCAATTTAAAAGGCCAAGCAACTCATCAGAAGCAGTTTTTCATGGAAACTATGTCAAGGCCTAAGCAAATCTGAGGGACGTAGCACTTCCAAAGAAAAGGAGCCCCCAAAGGGAAGCTCTTTCTGGTCATGCCAAGATCACAGCCACCAAGTCAGCCTGGTTCAGAGGTTCCTATCGCATTTGTGCCACATTACACGAGGGCAGCATTGGCTCTACCTGAAGCAGCTCCAAACGCAAACGGTTTTGTTTTGACAGAATGACAAGATCAAAACAAGGCAGCTGTAGAGGAAAAGTTATTGCTTCTGTGAGGAAGTTTCTTTCTGAATACACTGTCAAAATACTTCACTAAAGAAGTCCTTTGCTGTAGCAGATGCAGGTTCCTGTTTTAGAACTACTTAATTCAGAATTACCATTTGTTCCGTGATGGTGGAAGATTTCAGTGCACGTCTTCTCCTCTTACTAGCTGCACCTAGGAATCAAGAAACAGCAAAGTAACAAATGTGTGAACTTCAGACTGATTTCACATTATTCAAATTCTCTCTTTTCCCAAAAAGCTACAAAAGCAAGGCACTTTGGGTAGCAAGGCAAGAGTATCTTTCAGCTTCCCCAAACACCTGACATTTCAGTGGAATTCACATTATTTCCATTTAAGAAAAATTACAAGCCTGTACCGTTAGGAAGAAGTGCAAATCACTGTAGAATTAGGTATCACTTTGCCTTTTAAACTCAGTATAAAGCAAACCCCAGCTTTTAACATAAGATTTTTGATTGTGGCAGAGTGAACTTACTCTCCCTGGCAGCAGCGCTACTTGTAAGTGGTAAAAACTTCAAGCAAATTTATGAAAGATGACTGGTTTTTTTTCCAGTCAATTCTTGTTTACGTTAATACACCCTCAAAACTAAGACTACATAAACAATTATTTTAGGTGTCCCAAAGACATAAAATTGGCATTAGGTTTTTCATCGATGTAACGACCCTTCTAGGAAGCCTCCAGAAGCAATTTGACTTGTAAGTTTAATATTATTTATGCTACAAAGTGGTTTTAGTGACGTGGTATGAGACCCCTGCAAAATCATCTGCTTTCACTCTGTCCTTTTTATCAGCATGCACCAGCCTCTCTCCAACATCGTAACTGGCAGCTGCTGAAAACAGCTAGAGCATCACAAGCAGAGAAGGGTAACTCTGGCAACGAAGACACTGCAGGAGCAGAGAAAGCTGGAGAAGAGTTCAACCACCCACCAAACCTGAGGGTTTTAAATGCAGTGGGGTTATATGCCCCCTTCCCATTTAACTCTATGTCCTTTGGGCAGCACTTAGTAAGGTTTTTCCTATTAGAAATCATCCTGTTAAGAGGAGCTACTGTTGGTACAAGAAGGCTGTTAAAACAAGTTTGGGTTTTGGGTACTCTTCTTTGAGTATGGTGCTGTACATTTGCATTTTTCATGGCCTGAAAGGAAATCATAGCCTCTCACTTCATCCAAAATAAAGCTGGGTGGCCTAATTTGGAGCCGTCTAGGAGACGCTTGTGTAGGCACAAAGTGTTGCTTGCTGTCTAGCAGGACATCTTTGATCTATGGTAGGATTTTCTCAGTGCTTCCTGATGTTTGCTTTAGGAATGCCTTATAAAACAAGAGGAATATAGTTCGAAGAGCAGCCTAACTCTTCCTGTTCCCCACAGTGTTCTCCACTCTTCTACATTTATCAGCCTTTACTCTGGGTACATCCAACATTTCCAGTTAAGCTGAGGTCGGAGCTTGTTTCATCCCTGCTGTACAGAGCTGCAAGGAGACCTCTTGGCTCCTAAGGCACTCTTTGTCCTTCCAATCACACAGCAGAGCCCTGACATTTCAGCACAGGAATGTTGCTGGACCAAGAACAAGGGGATGTTCCTTGACCCCATCTTCTCCAAGCTGCCGGAGAGGCAGTCCTTTTGTACCAGCTCCTGCTCCCACACAGCCCAGCAGTGGCTCAGCCTGCCCCAGAGGAACAGCTGAGCTACTTCACTTGAGTTGGATCCTGAAAGTCAAAACTCTACCGTAGAGCCACAGCGCTTCCATCCCAGCCCCTGTCTCATTCCCCATCCTGTGCAGACCTGCAAACACACTCAGCACAGGTGTCCCCTGCCTGCCCAGATGGGCCAGGAGTGGGGCAGGCAGAGTACCTGCTACTTCAGCCACCCCACCAGCAGATACCCCTGGCTATTCTGAGCGCCACACATGCATCCAAGAGCTGCTCAGAGGCAGGAGACATTGGGCTTGGGGAACCAAGTGTCATTTACCCAACTCTCACAGCTGCTCCCAACCTCCTGGAGTACAGCTACTCTCTCAGAGGTGGGAGAAGCTCATTCAGGAGGCAGGGCAGACATCCATTCTGCCAGCAGAATCCATTTACCCCTCATAAACAGAGGATCTCCAAATTAAGTGCCTCTGGAAGATCTCCTCTGGGAGAAAACTCTCTTCTCAGGGAACAGGCCATACATTGTATATGCAGGACTTGAAGACACCTAGACCTTCAACCTCATAAGATTTAAGCCTTCCTTATGAAGGAGGTGGTCTACAGGGCTGGGCCTAATGCCTTAATCTCATCTCATACTGGAAATGAAGCAATCCTGGCCCTGTCTAGTACTTGGGCAGGAGACCACCTGGGACCCTGGTCAGACCCAACAGATCGACAACCATTAGACCACAGAAATCACATTAATTTTAAAAAGGGAGGGAATGTCAGGCCTCAAAACTATGGATAAGTAAAAAGCAAAACTACTAAGTGAAATAAGAAGCTGCATTTAGCTAGTGAACCACAGCAATATCAGGTGTTAAATGGACTGTATGTCTGGCTAAGAAGCCCCAGACCCTATGACTAAAATTTTAAATGATAATCACCTAACCCGCCCCTCTTTAGTGGCATCAGTGTGGAGCCAGACTTTGTCAAGAAGATTAGCCAAAGTGCACTAGACTTCAGTGGGAGCACACTGCTCTTAGCATTAGTGCTGACAGTTCGATTGAGCTTAATTTCAAAGTGAAGGCCAGTCTAGGATCCACTCCGTTTTGAGCAGGATTGTATGCATTAGGTCAACAAAGTCACAGCTTTGGTTAATTCAGTGAGATTCCTGACCACCTCTGAATCAGCAAGGACCAGGACTGCCAAATTAAGCTGCATTTCTATAGCAAATGAAGAAATCTTTAAACAGAGGTTGTATACAAGAGTTTGTCACACTTAAAAAGCTCTTTGGGATCCTTCAGAATGAAAGGCCCTATTTAAAAAACTACTGCAGTGAATACAGAAGATGCAAATGTGAACATTTTAACGTAACTACAGATAAAAATCCCAACGTGACCACTTCTGTAACAGCCTTCTCTTTGCTAATCAAGTGCAAGCTTGTGCATCACTCATTAGCATGGCTCTCATATCTCACATGCATTTTACAAGCTGCTTGGGCCTACCTGCCCGCACAGAGTCAGAATAATTCCATGAAGGACAGGTCCACAGTGTTTTAAGTCAGTTTTGAGGGAGACTCAGGGAAGACCAAATATAAACATTTCCTACTTCAAAAAACCTTCTAGATTTTTGTGCATATGCATGGATCTCAACCAAACCACTCCTGCAAGATTAGAAATCCACCGCTCAATTATAAGGGTGGAGTAACATTTATTTTGTTCAAATGAGTTAGACTGTAGGATGCAAACTTTTAAAACAAATGAAATCAATGAAGCCATTAAAGAAACTCACCATAGTGATTGGTCCTATTGCCTGGGTCATGTTTTGGGCAGAACACTCTAAAATTTAAGTTCAATTTTAAGAAAAAGAGAAAAAGTATTAATAAATATGTAAACAGAGTTATGCTGACTGATTTTAACAGATATTTTCCCCTCTTTTCATTGAATGTAAACTGAAAGACACTTAAAAAAATTATTGGCATTTTTGCTCAGCTTTACCCACTTAGGAAAGCACCTGCTGTAAAGTCACATACATGCACAAGCTTGTATTTGTACCTCTAGAGCCTCAGTGGACTCTGAACACTGAAGCTCTGAATTATCAGTTCCATTATCCCACTCTGTTTGGACTTGCTCACTGTTCAAATCCTCAGTCAGACACATTTCATCTGGTGTGGCGATCACTGTGGCAGGAGTACTCTTATTGAAACGCCTTATTAAAATGAGATTAATACTGTAACGATGAAATACCACAGTACTAATATTGCTTGATCGTAGCTACTGCAGTTCTGCCCCTTGCCCTGTACCACTCAGGCCAGGTCCAGAACCTCTTTAGATGCATCTGCTTACCAGTCAGCTTGAACTTACAAGCCCTGCATGATGTGCTGGCACAGCCACACGGCACTGCACCACCACGCACAGTACCAGTTAACTTGCTTGGAGATCTCTGTGCCCCTCCCTTTCCGCTGCTCAGTGCTGATGAGGTGGTCCCCAAATCCTGAGGAAGTAGGGCACCCTGTTTGAGATCCAATAGCTTAAAGCTGCTCAATCCATTCGTTCCTTAAAGACTCTAGTAATATGTGAGATGGGAATATTTTCTCTGGTTCTAGGAGAGCAATGTGAATTCCTTGGAAGAGGCAAATGCAACAAAAACAGCTGGAAATATTCTTTATCTTCTGGATACAATAATGTATAGAGAACGTGAACCAGCTTCTATAATATGCCTTTCTTACAGAAGGATCCCAAATCACTTTTTAAGCAAAATTGCCTTGTCAAGAGCGTGGTTTAGTTGATCTCTTAATTACAAATCTATTTGCCAGACTAATGCTCAAATGTTTGGAAGCAATTTTTAAAAGGAACTGTATTTACTAGTACATTTTCTAATTATTGTCATTCTTTTATTTTAACAAAATAGAAGCACTGACCTTAGAAACGCAGTCTGTTTCCTGGACGAGCCAGCTTTTTTGCACGAAATTCATTTTGATGCACAAAAAACAGATTTATGCATGCCTAACAATTAAATCAGAAAGCTAAGTACTGGAGGCACCTTATTTACATTCCTGAATTTCTAATATTGCCCTTTGGAGGTTGTTTTTTTTCCTTCCCTCCCTTTAATTCTATTCTTTCCCAGTTAAAAACAACCTTCCTAAGTACAAGAACATCTTATAAAGAACAGACAATACCTTTTACTACTCAGGCCGCTTTATTTGGAAGCACTTCCCTACTATCATTTTTGCAAGATGGCAGTACAAATTACGCTTATTTCCCCACCTCTGCTCTTACCATCCCCTTCCATAGCACTGCATGCCTTCTCTTTTTTGTTCTGCTCTATTTGTTTTGATAATCACTGCTCATCATCACAATGACGGCAACTCAGAATTTAAAACCAGCAGCTCTCTCTTTGGAAGGAATTCTTTATTTTGATATGCTTTTCAGTATGTTATATTTCACCATGAAAAAGTGCAGGGGGCTGTCAATCCATGCCCACTGTTTTTCAAGTCTTATTCCTCTTCTCTCCAGTAATTTCAGGCTAGCTACAAATTTTGTACTTTATTTATGCCACTGATACTATGCAAAAGTCTCTGGGTTCAAATCCCTGAAACCTGCCTCACCATCTTTCTCTAATCCAGTTCTTTTTTATCTCTTCATTACAGGTTGCTATAGCCTAGTTTCCTATATTTCTGTATAGGACAAGCAACTAGTCTCACACAGTGACTTAATACAAGGCATTTTTAAGAGTCCCTCTTCCAAACCTTCCAGGTCACCAGCTCAGAAAACCAGCAAATCAAACTATATATTCAATCACTTCTTTACCAGTTTGTATCTAGACTGTTATCAGTCCCGTTCATTTTTCAACATCTTGAGATGTTCAGTGTTCTTCAGCCTGAGGTATCCTTTCTAAAGCTATATGATGGGAGCCATTTAATCTGTGATGATAGAAAGTTTCCATCTTCCCAGCTACCCTCTTTCACGAGCTTTGCAGAATCCGGAAGACTTTATAAGCATAAACTTTTTTTTACACAGCTGGGCTTACAGCCTTGCAGAAAGACGTATTTGTTTTGGACTGAGAGCCCTAGTGCAGCCAGGAGTGCAAGTGTTTTGACACAAAAGGACCCATCTTTCACTGCTACTAAGGATTGCACGAGTCCACCTTTTCCTGAAAAAAGTAGTGATGAGATGGTCTACCAGATTAATCTAAGACTAACATGGCCTGTGATCTCTCTGGCCTTGCACAGAAATGGTCATCAGGGGTTTTATGCACCTCAGACTTTACTATAACTTCAACACTCCAAAAGGTCCTTAAAGTCGCAATTTCTCAACCCCTTCATCTGCATCTTCCAAACAACTCGTTCCATCTACTAACAGCAATGCAGTCAGCCTGAGGGCAGCAGACACCAGGACTAGCATGATCAGGACTGAAAATTTACTTTAAAATGCTAGCAATGTACTTGAAATATAGGAACATCTTTGGTGGGAATACAAAGTTTTCTGCTAGCATATGGAGGGAAAATTACCAGAATTTGTCTAATGTGAAGTGCTATAGCCTGCTCCATGCTCAGAGCACATTTACTGAAGCTTCTGAACCAACAGAAATTGAGAATTTGAGTGACATTAATACAAATCTTGGTCCTCGAAGACTAGCTAGATAGCCAGTAAGGACTGACTTCCTCAGTTTTGGCCTAGTGATCTTTCAGGTGTGTTGCAGGCTCAAACACTGAATAGATTCCTTCCCTCTGCTGTGATGTTTTCCTGTGAAAGGAAAACGTTTCCCCTATTGCTTGTGAACAGAGGATCAAGCATCAATTTAAGAGAGGAGAACATATTTCCTTTTTAAAAAACTTTAAAAACTACACAATTTTTAAGTCTCTCTTCCTGACACCACCACCAAACCTTGACAATAATTAGTTAGAAAATATTTGGTTAAATACCGGTAGACTCCATTTACTTCATCCGTTTCTATTGCTGCATCATCACAGAGCGCACAGAAGTAGTGATAACTTCTGCGACAGGCTCTTTCCTCACATCCCACAGTGGCTCCTTTCTTGCGACAGAAGTTGCACATCTAGAACAGGATGAGGTTTAGTAGGTAAGCATTACAGACAGCTACTGAAAACCTTGCCATACAAGGCAAATACTATCCTCTGTGGGAAAAATCAAATCTTTCATTGCAAGTCGCCTCTGTAAAACTCATCAGGCAAGTTCACACCTGCAAACTCCTACCCTGGTCATTATTTTAGCCACCTTTTTGCTATCTTACCTCTATCTCATACTGATGAATTTGTAAAATGATGCAAATAGCCATGAGAGGGCTGGGAAACTTCCCCCTCTCCCCTAAATCTTGCCCAAGTTATTTCAGTACCTATTGGTATTAGTGCTTGTATTTACATTTTCTAGGCTAACTTCGTAATGAAAAGAGTTCCACCCAGGATGTAAGGGAGGAGGGCAGCTGAGGACAAAGCCAATAAGAAAACCTCATATAAATAACCTTCCTTCTGCTAAAACCAGAAGGTGTTTCCCTTTAGACTTATGGATCGCATAATTTTGTTTCAGGCACTGGCCTAGTCCTTCACCAAAGTCTCTTAGGAAACTTAGACTAAGGACTTAAAGGCCAGAAAAACCAACACATTTTAATACAAAATGAACTAAATTTCAACAAATATAATGTCAAATCAATGTTTCTAACTCTAAATCTGTAATTTCCCTAACCTTAGTAGATCAGAAGGACCAAGTACTTTTCTGCATTTTTTTCAAGCATGAAACAGCCCAGACAACGTTCAGTACTATGAAATGGGACTAAGTGCAGATTCAGAAAGAAACTCCTTACCAGCCGCTTTCCTCTCTTGAGTTCTTTCAACACTGATGTCACATCAAACCTTATATCCAGATTATCTGGGTTATACTCTTCAGATTCTACAAATCCTGAGGAAAATAACTAAAGACGAAAGAGACGATATTAAGAATTAATAAAGGGACTCAGTCACCAGTGCATTCCAGAGAAAAGAGAAGGGTACAGCTTTTCTTCTTGCAATTGCCCTACCTAAGAAAGGCTGATTTTTCTCTGTGTTTTTAAGAAGTTTCACCTACACTGAACACGGAGTTGTGCTTAAACATTTTCCCAGTCAAAAGAAGTTCCTCTGTCTATACAGGAGATTTCACATGACCTGAAGGTGAACTAAGAAAAGATAACAAGGTGAGAAAGCGAACTTAGTAAGAAGTATAATGAAGAAAATCTAGGAGGCCAGGCTGCCCAGAGTAAGGAGGAGAAGCTCTTCGGCTGACAGACCTCCACACCTTGAACATCTTGTTATCTGCCCAGTTGTTCAGGCTTACAGCTGGATGCAACATTTCTCTGTAATAAAATTTCCAATACTGACAACAGCTGACTGCACGAGAAACATAGAAACATTGTAAAAAGCCTGGGAGAAACCCACAAAAAATGCACACATGCACATTAGAGCCACTTTAATTCCCATAGAAGTGCTGCGCCATGACAACAGGTGAGGAAGGGGAAGTTCTTAGCAACTTTTTCTAACCATTATATATAGCTAATTCCAAACAAAAGTGAGCTACCCTTACATCAACTGGCAAGCACAGTCTGCCTGCTCAGAAGATCATAGCTAACTGCAAAAAAGCCAAGCAGCACAGAGAGGCCTAAGGCAGAGAAATTAGTAAAGTTGTTGGGGGAGGGGGGGGGAAGAGAGAGAGAGAGAGAAAGTTTCAACACTGAAGCAACATTATAGCTGTAACACAACCTGTTTCAAACAAAACATCCAAGTAACACTGTAAAATAGATATCAGATGTTTCTGAAACATTCTGCTAAAAAAAAAAAGTAGAAAAATAAAGATGTAAACGTAAAACCTGCGAGAATAAGAAGGCTGGAACAGTGAAAGCCAGAAAGCTGTTCCATCAGAGCTATCTCCTGCACTAAGTGACCCTCACTGAAGGGAGAATATGGCATCTGTAATTGATCCTGCACACCAAAAACCAGCTCCACTAAGATCCCAGAACAAAGGGGAGGCATTTTGACAGCAAGGAGAATGAATAAGTTCTAGGATCACAGCACACTTAGAGCTTCACAGATATTTTTATATAATCAACTTCTGATATTTTTATTCCTTATTTTATAAAAGGCACAGACTGGGAAGTTTTTTACCTTGATATATCAAGTGATGTGAACATTTTCCTGCAAAGGTTTAATTAAATACACAACTTCCTGTGGTCTGAGAAGCCTCTTCAATTTAGTGTCTCAAGAAGCCCTATTCCTACTGATAGGCCGTATGTGTGTCTAGAACCATTGATCAGGAACAGACACGCATGAAAACACCACAAATCAACTTGTCCAGCTGTGCAGCCGTGTCCTCCCCCTCTCCAAAATTCTGGCCAAGCCCTGTTGCTTTTCATAGCTTTTCAATCTAATATAAGCTTGCTGGTTTGGGTAACCAACCTTTTAATTCAGACACCATTGTAGAGTCAAAAACAGACAAGCAGTGGAAACTTCCCCTTTAGCCCTTCTTCTCCATTCCTCTCAGGTACCGACCAACTAAAAGCCACTCACCAAACAATCCTGATGAGCGGCAATATTTCGCTCTTTGGCAATATACATTACAGAACCAGCCTCCCCTTCTGAACAAAACGCACACGTTCTTCTCACCATCTTCGCCATTATCCGGAAAACACCTAGAGCAGGAAAACTGAGACAAAACACAAAGCAATTGATGAAACTATCATACGCCAAGCAGGACGAACAGAGGAAAGCAGAGCTTGCTAGCGCTTGCCCTCTAACTGCTCCTTCACCTACATCCCCTGAACCTTGGTGCTTTGCTCCCCCAACTACTAGAAGAATAGGCAAAGCGCGCTCTTGGGACAGCAGTGGATGGAAACCAGCTCCCATGAGCTCCAACAGTTAGAGCAGGAGGAAAACTGGTTTATTCCCTCTTGGAAAGTCACTAACAAGTCATAAGGGGTAATACAAGAGTTTTCAAGCTTGCTCGGCAACATATGCTCCAACAACAGGCCCAAGAGCGGGCCAGTGAGTCAAGCCCTAGATGCGAAACCCCTTTTGTTTGGAGGAGGTCAATCGTTCATAGCAGTGCTTTCCGTAAGCTAGTTCTGCTGCATGTGGGTCTGCAAGTCAACCAAGGAGAGAAAAACAGCTGTCCCCAAACTTCTCCAGCGCCTTCCAGGAGTTCACAGAAAACAAGGAAGAAACACTAATTCCTTACTGGAAAAAGGAAGTAGCAAAGAAGCATCAAGAGTCTTGCAAGTAAAAGAGGGCAGAAGACAGAGTCAGAAACGAGAGATTTGAACATTCTCTCTCAATAAGGTGGAGCGCTAACATGAGCAACATAATTTTCTCTATACCCTGGGATTTGCCCCATGGACATCTGTTCTCTTTTTCTGGCCATATCCGCTCAAGTCTTAATTGCTCTTCTTCACACAGTCTCTCTTTTCCCCCAGCAGCTGCAAAATTTTAACACCAGCTACTTATTTCACAAAACAATCTAAATGCTTCTGGATAAGCCTTTACCCACATCCCCAACCAGTAGTTTAGAGCATCGTGCCACACATTAGTAGCAGAAGTTTTACTTTGTCTGTGGTTTCTGTGCAAGTCCACCGCAGAAATCTTCAAGTTTCCCACTCCCACTAGGTGTGATACTCCAAACTGCCCTTTGCTGGAGACGTTACCTCTGATAGCACAAACTCCTGCAGGTTAAGGGTAAGAAAAGTCTGCTTTTACTTTCAAGAAATAAGAAGATTTGAAGTTAAATTATTCTAGTGAGAGAGAAGCAGTAAGGTCCAAGTACAAAATAGGCAGGAAATCTCACAGTCCAGCAAATCTCACAACATTTCTGTGGCTTTCAACAGCCAACCTCTGTTTTCATTAGTTCCCATCTCCCTTCCATTTTATAATGGAGGGGGTAGTCTCAAGTGAGAAGCACACCAGAGTAGAAGGGGATTTTTTTTTTTCCTCTAGCTCTGCCACTGAGAATTTACTTAATCACAGCAAGTCACTTTGCCTCCACACACATCTGGGTTTTTTCCCCCCTGTCCTTCTACCTCTTGTAAAGCAAGGCAGGGTAGAGACTGATTTCCAACATCCATCTATACAGTGACCATCACTTCAGTCCCAGAACTTAAGCATTAAATAAATAAGATAGAAACAAATAGAAATGTATAGAAACAGAAATATTAGAAATAGAATAGAAAACAAAGACGGAAAAAAATTAAAAAGCAAAACAAGCTAGAGTTTGAATGGTCTAGAACTCAGGAAAAGTTCTCTGCAGCAAGCTAATACCTGGAATCGATGCAGATACATAGGCCCTGCTCAGGCCCAGTCAGAGGATCCAGCTCCGGGGGCTCTAGGAATTTTGTGAAGAAGAGGCTAAAGGTGGAGTCTACAGTCCCTGGTGTTCTTACAGGCTCAGGAGAAATCCTGGTGCTGCCGGAGAACAGAGGACACTCAGTCAAGGTCAGCCTTGGGGTTACTCCAGTGCCTTTGCAGGAACCCTGAAGCGGTAGAAGGACAGCTCTTGGCCCTTCCTCACCGCAGAAGCAGCCAGCCTGCATCCGCTGCCCCGTTTAGCTCAGTATCCTCTCCCCCACAGGAGCATTGCTTTGGCCCTGTGCTCCTCCCTAGCTTCCTGCGACAGATTACTGCCAGGGACACGATACTAAGCTAAACGGGGCAATGGATCTGGCTGGCTGCTCTCAAGTGAGAGGAGAGCGGCTAAGGGCATGGTGCCAGTTCCATAGTTTAATTACATTTTGCCTAAACAACCCCTTGCTTTCGCAGGTCTTAAGCCTGCCGCTCACAGATTCCATTTGACACCCCAGAATCTGTCTGAAGAGGCAAGAAATTGTTCCTTACTCAGCTCCTCCAGTAACACTCGTCAGGGCATAGATCTGTTATTCTTTGTCCTACTATCTCTTTTTCAAGTTGAAGAATCTGAAACTATTTTGTTGTTCCTTCTACAGAAGCTGCTCCGCATCTTTGATCATCCCTGTCACCTCTCAATCTCTTCCCTACTCCTGCTATGTTCCAAGAGGAGCAAACAACCTTCAAAAGGGTGGGCTACCATTTACAATATAAGGTCACAATGGCACTCTGTATTTTTCTCTTTTTTTTCTTAATAATTCTTAATATTTCAATCACATTTTGGACTGCTTCTGAGCACAGACCTGACACTTTCACAGAACTACATATTATAGTCCCCCAGACCTCTTTCCTAAGTGATATCAGAGGGCATCAGCCTTACAATTGTTGCTCTGACATGCATCATTTTCCACTTATTTTAAATTTTCACCTGCTATTTTATAGCCAAATCACTCGCTGTCACAAAGCCCTTCTGCAACTCTTCATAGCTTTCACTTTCACTGCCACAGAAGCAGATTGTGGGAACCTAAGGTGACTAAGAGCTTCATCTGTAAGAGGTGGCTTCCACTGCCCTTCAGTAATGACAGAGCAAAAGAAGCTGCAGAACAGATGACAGAGGAGAAGCAGCTGAGTGAAAGAAACAGTCACATGTCTCTGGCTGCTTCTCTGGTACCTGTGCCATTTCCTATAATTTTTTTTTTTTTTTTTTTTGCAACAGTGACAAAATGGAAGACAACAGGAAATGAAACAGAAAGTAAAAAGGGATGAAAACGTTGTTGGCAAGTGCACAGGGATTGTGCCACTTCCAAATACACCTTGCTGAAATATTACCAGTTTCTCTAAGTATTTCCTCTCCAGAGCCAATTCTGAAAGCATCCTCGCACATAAATACACACATTTTCACACAGGAGAAAATTAAGGTGCAGAATGTCACTCGGCTATCTGTAGGGGAGTAAGGAAAAGAACTCAAGTCCCCTGATTTCCAGCACGCTACCGAAACCCACTGCCCTAGATCCTGCTCTGCTCTCCTCTTCACCCCAGTATAGTGAAGAATTGACTTACTGAAGTGGGGAGAAGGCAGGAAATTACACACTTATCACCCTACACTCACTGCGTCCTCCATTTGCACTTTATGGGGAAAGAAGCACTGCTGGTCATGTATTAGCTGGGCATGACCTGCACATGCACCCCCCTGTTCTTCCCCAAGTGATTAGCAGCATAAACACATCCAGTCTTTGAAAAGTTTTCAGAACAAAAACAACAAAGAAATCCATCTTGCTGATCACCTTTCACTTGCTACAGAGAAAATAGCTTCAAAGATCTAAACAAATATTTTCTTTAGAAAGATGTATGTAAACACATCTGATCCAAGTGATGGGGGTGACTGGAGGGTGCCTCATCAGATCTAAATTCTCACCTATTTGCAAGATCACAGAATGGTTTGGGTTGGAAGATCATCTAGTCCAACGCCCCTGCCATGGGCTGGGACATCTTTCACTAGACCAGGCTGCTCAAACCCCCGTCCACCCTTACCTGAACACTTCCAGCGATGAGGCATCCACAACTTCCGTGGGCAACCTGTGCCAGTGTCTCACCACCCTCACTGTAAAAAATTTCTTCCTTACATCCAATCTAAACCTACCCTCTTTCAGTTTGAAACCATTGTCCCTTGTCCTGTCACTACAGACCTTGGTAAAAAGTCCCCGTCTTCCTTATAGGCCCCCTTTAAGTACTGAAAGGCCGCAATAAGGTCTCCCTGAAGCCTTCTCTTCTCCAGGCTGAACAACCCCAACTCTCTCAGCCTTTCTTCACAGCAGAGGTGCTCCAGCCCTCTGACCATTTTCACGTCCCTCCTCTGGACCCGCTCTAACAGGCCCGTGTCTGCCTTGTGCTGAGGACCCAGAGCTGGAGGCAGTACTCCGGGTGGGAGATGTCTGGACTTCTGTTGTTACAAGTCCTCGAGTGGTCCCTGATGTGCTTCGTACAGTAACACCTTATCCTCTACCGACACACCGCTTCCAGCATTTTAAACACAGCGGCAGAGCCGCCCCGGGAGGCTCAGGGC